ATATATATATATATATATATGTGACTGGAAACAACTGTATTGAAATGCTTATTTTACTTCTCTTTCTTTAAGGTCAGTCAAATATTCTGGTTTGGAGATTTGAATTATCGTCTCAATTTGTTGGATTTGGAGACAAGGAAACTTGTTGCCAGGGAACAATGGGATGAACTTAGAAACAGTGATCAGGTAAGACCATTGATCCCTCTGTTAGTATTTCCAACAAAAAGAAAAATGAAGGAATTGATTCACTGATCCATAAGAGAGATGTGGCAGCTGTGCAAAGAGCTGAGAAAGGGCCGAGTATTTGATGGTTGGAAGGAGGGATTGATAGAATTTGCTCCAACATATAAATATGAGTTCAACTCAGACAAATATGCTGGAGAAAATGCAAAAGAAGGGGAAAAGAAGAGGTCCCCTGCATGGTAATCTATTGAAACAACTTGACTGTTTTACCTGTCAAATTATTTCCCATTAACTTAAGCATCATTTCCCCTCTGGAGATAACCTTTTGGCATGATCAAAATATTTTGAAATAAAACACGCACTTGCATCGCTAATGTTCTGATTTTATCTTAGTTTTAGTGGACCAAAGCAATTATTTTTTTCGAAGTTCAGTGGCAGGAATAGAACGCTTGATGTCATGTTGTGGCATCCCGCTACCGTGAGCACCCAGGCTTAAAGGCCTTTTTTTCCAAAGCAAAGTTTGTCATAGTTCTGTTACAAGTGTACATGCTTTTACAATTCCTGGGCGATTACTTCCTGATATTATGGTCTATTGTCAATGACTCTCTCTCTCTCTCTCTCTCACCTCCCCCCACCCTCCTCCCTCCCTCCCTCCCTCCCTCACTTGGTGCATCATGTCTTAAATGTTTTAGGTGCGATCGAATACTTTGGTTTGGGAAGGGCATCAGACAGCTTTTTTATGGGAGAGCAGAGCTCAAACTCTCAGACCATCGGCCTGTGAGCTCCATATTTCTTGTAGAAATTGAAGTTTTTGATCACCGCAAGCTCCAGAGGGCCTTGAACTTTACAAAGGCAGGCCTCTTTAGCGAGGACACTCTTCTTGAGGATGGAAAAGCAGATCTCTTGCACACCGAAAACACCATTCATGTAAGTAAAATGTTCCATGTTTATCTACTGCATTGCTGTTTTTTCTGTCACACATATTTTGAAGACTTAATGCATATGCAATGCGATCATTGTCATGTTCAGTTTCCTGTAAGTCCCATGACTTTTTACCTGGTAAACTTTTTCTTCTTTTGCATACATTTGGAGGTATGAAAATAAGAAAGCTCAAATAAACATATGAAAGAGATGAATCAAAATTTATAGCAGAAAGTTTTTATTTGAAATTCAAGAGAAGGGGATATGGTACGATCAATGGAAACTCTATTATTTTTTAAATAAAATAAATTAGAAAGAACGAATAGAATGTCAAATAATCCCTCAAAAATGTTAAATCAATGCAATAAAGTACAACACAATGATGCATGTAGTTCAAAAACAGTAAATTATGTGGAAGTGCAACTGCCCGATGTCAACAATGGATGCTTGAGGTGAACCATTCCTCCACTCGATGTCTTCTTTGGCAGAAGAATGATCATATTAACAATCCGGTGTTGACAATGGACAGTTGAGGTGAAGTGCAGTTTACTATCAGTAAACTACACGCATCACTGTATTGAATCCCAAACTCTTATAAATGTAAGTTTTATTTAAGAAAATTCTTGAATTTTTTGTTACTTACCAGTGATTATAATGCAGATGGAAGGCATGCTCTTTCAGAAATTTAAAGAAATCATGTGTTGGTTTTGCAGTGCATTTAATTCTGAAAGGAGAGTAACAGTTGGAGGCTCACTTGCAGGATATGATGTTGAGGCTAATAATGATACTAATGCATACACATTTCTCTCACACAGTATTGTACAATTATGGGAGAGATGTAATTGATATTTCATATACGGCAGTGTTTAATATGTCGAGTGGAGAGGCTTGGAAGTTTTTGTATTGTATGATCTCCCCCTCTATCTATGTATTTGTATCTCTAGAGAAAAAATAAATACAAAAGTAGAATAATAAAAGCTCAAGGAGGCCCTCATCAAGAGAGGGGGAGCAATTTTAACGGGTGGGGTTCTCGCAAAAACCTCTGCTAGTGCTGCTTATTAAGAAAAAAGAAAAGCAAAAAAAAAAACTCTGTTTCTGTAAGCAGTTTTGATGCATACTTTGAAACTCCTACTACATTGCAGTGCTGTCTCTCATTTATTGTCTGTTATGTTTCCACTATTTCTGTATGTATTTCTGTAGGTGTGTATGTAAGAGAGAGAGAGAGAGAGAAAGAGAGAGAGAGGGAGGGGGGAGGGAGGGAGGGAGGGAGAGGAGGGTAGTTTTTATTCAACTAAGTTTGTAGACAAGGTATGTCAGTTAGAAGTAGATACATCTGTCTTGTA